GAGCCATCTGCTTGGGATAAGTCATTGAAAATCTTATATATGTTTTTTAACAGAGTTAGTGTGTACCCTTTACTTTCACAGAAGGATGGTATTTACCCTATACTAACTAGAGCTTTTTGAAATACCTTTTTTTCACATGAATCACAGAACTTAGTAAATACAGACAGAATGGTAACCTAGATTTCTGTATGAGAGGCATGGTTATGGACTTTGAACCAGCAGGGAGAAGGCGTTGGGGAGCCTGTATGAAAAAAGGCATCTTGAAGAATTTCAGTCATCTTAAATCAAGTAGCTTTTTCTAGCAATAGTTTATTATAGGCCACCCTTTCTTTTTTGCCTCTATATGTATAATTGCTTTTCTTTCTGGCAATGAATAATGTATATTTATAGATAAGGAGAAACACATGTTATAAGCCAAGAAGTATTTCTTGCTAGTAGCTTCTTTACTGTCTTGCCATTTGGATTATGCTGTGTAAGTGGAACAAAATGGTAACTTTACTCCACTGAAATTTAACTCATGCATATGAAATCAAATTTCCCTGAGGCAAAAATCTCCTAGGTAAATAGAAGAACTCCTTGCATGCGTCTTGTATTTGGTATAGCTTGTCATGCTAAGATATGAATGGCGAGACAGGCATTTTAATCTTCAAACGTGTGATTTCAAATCCCACTGAGCCTGTTGAGATCAAGGCTGCCAGAGAAACATGGATTGTTTCTGGCCTTTGCAAGATAATTCTTCTGTAAGTAGAGCAGCTAGCAGGTCATGATGACTAGAGAACTCCCTCCAGTGGGAGATTTATTGCATGAACTCTACTTGAAACTGTGCTCTTCTAATGACTGTCTCTCCTTGGCAGCAAAATCATTAGAAGCTATTAATGTGGCTTGCTCCCTTTTACCTTTTTACAATAAATCCATAAGATTTTTAATTTCTTAAAACAAAAGTATGTAAAACACATCCTGCCTTGCCTCAAGGAGCTGTGCTTTGGAAATGACATCATTTGAAATAAAAAGCTGAATTCATTGAAGAGATACAGGTCAAATAACTGAAAGAGTTAAAATCAAGGTCTACTTGCACACACAACAAGAAAGAATCGAAAGAAACCAGAAAACTGCTTCCTCACCATTTTTCCTTATACCGAAGAACAACAGTGGGACTGGGACATGAAAATTATGTTCCATGTAAATTCTGACAGTGGGTTTAGCCTCTTCTGGAAGGGCAGCTGGAAACACAGGCTGCAAACTGCATCAAAATGACAGATCTCCAAACAGCTTGCATTCTTTTTGGTTTTTGCTGTAATTTGTTCTGTACCTCTGATAGTGCTGTTTGTGGCAGATGCTAGCCTACAGAGCTCTAATTGAACAGAATATATGCCGAATAGTGTGTTATGACAGTAAAAAAGGTTTTGTAAAATATATAACAAGAGTATATTCTTGATCTTACTTAATGGGTTTTCTGTAGGGTTCTGTAGCACTTCCAGAAGCTACTACTATGCACAGTATAATGATAATGATACATGCCTTATTTTAAATTTACTTTTCTGAATTAAGTTTCATGTTCCTTAAAGTCATGCTTTGAAATGGAAATCTTTTTGACAACAAGACAGGCATAGAACAGGCTTTGACTATAATAATTTCCTTACAGCAGATTTATTACTAAATAATACAACAGTATTGTTTAGTAGTGTCCATCTTTAATAGAAGGACATTCATTCCATCTTGTGCTTGTTCAGTGTCCTTCTTCCAGTATGTCAGTTGTCATGTTGTTAGCCAATTAATGCTCTCTAATTTCATTTTACTTTCTAAACAGGGGAACATGGTATTTTTCAAGAAATCAGCTTATCTTTTTTCAGTTAGAAGCAGACTTTTGAAGGAAGATGTTACATTTACATTTGCATAGATTACTACGTTTTCACAAATGTAAGATAATCTTGTAGAACAACCCTTCATTTTTTCTGAGGGAGGAAATGTCCGACTTTGAACAGAAAGTAAGCACGCCTCCCCTTATTTTCCAACTGCTTTATTTTATAATTCCAGTTTGCCACACTCAGCCATACACGTTCCTGTTTCCCAATCCCTTGCCTCCATTGAAATGGCAGATCTGAGCACTGGCTTGTGAGCTGGCACAAGGGCTGCTGCTCCATGCTGAGGTAAAGCATTACATTATCACTCCTCTACATGAGACAAGCAGCTCCCATCAAGTTGTTGGAGGCTGTGCGGTGCTCTGAGATCTGTTGTCCAAGAGAAGAACAACACAGTTGAAATATTTTCTATTAATGTATGAAATAGTCAATTCCTTTTGCCACCAAAGTATGTTTTATTCTTTGGATATTAAAAGCAGCTAAAGAGAAGACTTGTTGATTGCCTACCTCTGGCAGCTCCCAACTCTAAGAAGGATGGAAAGTGCCCTGTTTTGGAATAAATACTGTACTACAAGGCAGGATTGGTTATAGGACAACTTCCCTTAAAATTGCTTTGTAAGCTTAAGGAAATATTATAGTATTTCTACTTCTCATTTTCTTTAATCTAAATAGCTAAAAGTTATACACTACATTCTACCTTTTTGGAAAAACATAGCAAGGTGCGGGCTTTCTGGCCACAAGAGAAAATAGAACAAACAAATCTTATCACAAAAGCAAAACTTTCTTCCATCAAAATAACTGAACTGAAATATTATCTACATAAGAATCCTCCTTTAACCAATTTTGTGTTCAGGCAAGAACATGTCATATGGAAATCAAAGGAAACTGACCCTTTTCAGCTGTTAATAGAAGGTGTTTGCCCAGAGCCTTAATGCTGAGTAAGAGGGTGAGCATGATGAAAGCCCTTTGAAGAATAGTTCCTGACCCAGCCAACTATGGAATTTTTCAGAGAATTAACTTTAAATCAATACATATATTTCTAATATAATACCAATCAGTGTTAGTAAAAAGAAGATCTATAGTTTTCATTCTCCTGTTGCCACTGTATCTTAGATAGTTGGCTTTAATTCAGACTCTCTGCTTACCTATTGTTCCTCTAAACATAGTGTTTAAAAAGCATTGTAGGAGAAAGACATAAACATCATTACAAGATTCAGTTATTGCAGGAGGACATTGCCTGAATACTCAGGGAATATTGTATTGGCATGGTAAGTGTGATTTGCTCTCACAGCAGTTCTGTCAATGTCCCTGAATACAAAACATCTTGAAAAAAGTCTGAACCTCAAATGTAAAAATGAGCCATACTGACTGTGCCAGGGTCTATGAGGCACTTGGCACCAGTGAACTCTTACTTAAGGATTCTGCTCTATTACAATGCTTATTAGTAGAAGATGTAGCTCTCTTTGGAAAATAAAAGCACGCCTATGATGATAAAAACATAACAAGTGAAATGTTCTCATGCAATTTTGACATAAAGAAGATACTGTCAGAGGTACTTATAATGTATCACTGTAGTAAGTTACTGTGAAAATTGATGGCAAGGAAGGAGACGAAGCCGTGTCATTGCACAGTCCACAAGAAGGCATAAGTTTAATCAATATGATTCAATTAACTTGCTTTTTCAATCTTGTAAGACACGTATCAGTTGTAAATGGATAAATAGCATATAGTTTTCATGTTCAAGCCTGGGCAAAATTGTCCTATCAATATTTTTTTGTCACCAGGGGACTGTACCTCTTGTATCATATCTTTCCCCAATCTATGTTAAAGTGTGAGATGCTGCTGTTCTTGCAATGTCGATACAATAGACTTCTCTCAGGAAAAACTGTGTCCATGCTGTCTGAATGAGGTCAGTTCTCATGGCAACCACATTTTCTCCACAGAAATGTGTATTGTTTTCTAGCACTTTCCCCTTCTGTGTAGAAATTATGTAAAATCCGAAGGAGCAGAAAAGTAAGAAAGAAATCTAATCGGAATGCAAGCTGCAAACACTGTGACACTTACTTCCCTTTCATGCTGATTACTGTTGTTTCACAAGTTTTTAAGCAGCCTGAAATTTTATGAGACAGCACATATGCTGAGAATGCTCCATTTGCGTTGCTGAGCAACATATCCATACAATAGATTTTTTAGACAAAATTAAATTAACACAGGATTAATTACCGTCAGATATGATAGAAACCAACAGTTATTGCTGTGTGCCTTAAGATTATTTCAGTTACTTCCTCCCTCCTCCCTCCCCCCTTTCTTCAATTTAAAAAAGCTTTCCAGAGCGAGAGTGATCCCTTCCATGAGCAGTTTGGAAGCAGAAAGGAACTGCTTCGTTGGTGAGGATTGGCAGAGCTCATTGCATCTCAGCCCCGCTCCAGCTACCTAAGGAGGCTCCTGCCAGCAGGGGATTTGCTGGCATGATGATGCCTATGATGGCACTACATCTGTAACAAGGGAATTCTCCACTGATGGTGTAAGGTTGTGTTAAATCTCTTTTGTAGACCTAATACCCCTATTATTCGGTATTTCTCAGTATTTCAGTATTTATCCCCCGCCCCCGTTCAGATTTAGAAGCATTTTGAATGGGAGAACACCCCTCTCTGTGATTTTAATGGCATTTTCACTCTCTTAAAAGAGAGCAAAAACTTGGCCTCGGCCTAATAAAAACAAACATTTATCTTGATTACAAGAACATCCTCAGTTATGTCAGCCTAAACATGTTATAACTCCTCAGGACATGAAGGAGAGAAACATGAACTGTTGCTAGGAAAAAACTTCCCTGTCAAAGAACAACCCACTCATTCATTATGAGATTACTTGGTAAAGTCTGCTCTGAGCTTTGTGGCATGGCTTGGTCTGAGTTGGGAGATCTGACAGTAACAGTTCCTATTCAGATACCTTAATGCAGTTTGTATGCTTGTGATTGCTATTGATATCTTAACTGATTGTTCTCTGCCCTTTGTATGGTATTCATAAAGCTGACCTGTCATGTACTGTTAAGTTTACCAGGAAAATTAATCACAAAAGCTATACTTAGAATATTAGTAAAAACTTTAAAGTATTATATTTATTTTAGATTATTTTATTTACCTGCATTGTTGTCTTGGGGGTCAGTGTAGATAGAAGCCAGGGTAAACAAAGAGAAAATGACAAAAGCCAACAAGATGAAAGCTACTTCCAGATTTGTGAAGGGCAGCTCCATGAGCTGTTAGCACTTCTCCTAGAAAAAAGTGTAAACGTTTACTCTGCTTGCTGTAGAAAAGGATTGTTCTGATTAGAGTAGTTAAGTCTTTGGTTGGAAGGATACTAGATCCTGGTCAAACTGGTTAAGTAACTTTAGCAGTTAAGGAAACAATACTGTTGGCTCATACAGGAATGCAAATTCAAGCCTTTTTAGATAATACATAGTATGCAGAGTTGCTCAAGGGAACATTTACAGCTTGCTTGTGCTATTTTGAGAGCACTTACTGAAGTAAAGCTGCACTTAACTGGATATCTGAATCCATCTGTATTCTATATTTATATATATTTGTAATTATATCCAATATATTTAATTAGAGGAACAAATTTTGGATCTTTCAGAGTAGTAAGTAAATACTTCTTCAAACAAAAAGTTTGTGTAAAAATCAGTAGGAAAGCATAGATTTTCTTAATAGTAAACATTCAAGTATATAAGAATACTACTTTCTGTGTAGTGGAAAGTTTATTATGACAGCATTATGACCAAGTTACAAATCAAGCCCCACTCAATAGTTAGCTCAGCGATTATAAAGTCCATGGAAGTTTGAAGTGTTCAGTTGCTCTGCAGTGCAACTGCAGTGCAGTTTCAGTCTCCTGTAATCTCAAAACCGAGGACTTCAATATATTTGTACAGATAAGTTGTGAAAAATCAGAAGCATATAAAAAAATCAAAACATTATGTAGTTAATAAAGAGAAGTCTTCACTTACTGACTGCCAGGAGTTTGTGTGTATATTCCATTGGAATTTCTTTCTACAGTTTCAAAATCATCACAGTTTTATAAAATGATTCAGTATCATGGACTGAGTTAATCACTCACTGTTGGAAAGATTTAACATAATGTGGTTTCCTGATACTTTTCAGTTGCTGCCTTCCTCATGACAGGTGCAGCACACGTCAGAATAGAAACTCCCAGGGACAAGTGGAGAAAGTGCTAGGAGAAGGCACAACCCTACGAGTTTTTTTCTTGTACCTGCCCACCCGCTGCTGGCAACGTTCATGCAAACTGAAGCAACAGAAGGTATAAAAAAGCCATTTGGGCCGTCAAGTCTGGAGTTTGTACACTGTAAAGCATGTTGAATTGTAAACTCTAGTAAAATATTAACATAATAGTAAACAAGACTTTTTAATATAAGAAAAAAATCTAGCTCAACAAATATAACAGCGAGAATTTTAAAATTCAGATCTGTATTGATAGAAACAGTGATTGCTAGAATGACATGGCTTTGTTAGCAAAAAACAAACCTATATTAATGCAACTTGTAATAAAAATGGTCATTTTGAAGGATCTTTCTGATCACTTTATGAGTTATTCTGTACAATCTTGATTTCTCAAGGATGGATTTTATGCATTGTAAAATCTTGATGTGAAGAAAATAAATACAAATATTTTAAATTAAAGTGTCAATCACCTCTGATTTTATTAGCTACTTGTTAATTAGAAGGAATTCCATTTAAACTATCCTTTTTAATATTTTAATTATTCCCTTATTTAGAAATATCAAGCATTTTGATATTTCTATTTTTGAATTTCATACTTCAGGTCATTCTGATTTTTTATATAGTGATCTAATCAGGAACAGTTCCACAACAGGCAAGGGAGTGATGCTTGTGAAATGCAATGTCAATAACACCTGAGTCAAAGAGGTGAAGGTGGAGATGACTGGGTCTCTATCAGGTCCACTGTATCTTCTGATGGATCAGTTTTGCAACAACGATTTTGTTAGTAGCTATTATAAATCTCTCTTTATGATTTCTAAAACTGATTATATTCAGATACAGAGCTGAGAACATAATCTGAACGATTATCAGTATAAGACAAATGCAGAGATTTTACTGAGGACTGATAATGTTTTTGAAAGCTGCTAAGTCCCATTGAAAGTTGAAGGAATAAAAGCTCTTTAATTGTGTAACACATAACAATTTTTTCTCTTCATTGTTCACAATCTTTGGTTACCTGGTTGCCATACCTTTAAGAATGGATACAAAGCAGAGCCATCTACTGGTTCTGAGGTACAACAATCACTAAAGAGAAAGACAGTGAAGTTGTAAATGCTACATAAACACAAAAAACAACGTGTGTGGCTTCTTATTACTTAATTCGGAATTAAGACAACACTTTTATTAGCAAGAAAATATGCACCTATCAGATTAAAGAGTAATTTGACTTAATATTAAAAATGACAAAACATTATTGCAAGTCACTAAATTGCAATGTTCGTCTAATTTGTGCATTGTCCATAGTACATTGAGAAAATACCACATTTTTCTTCTTGGAAACCAGGATGTTCAATGAAAGATGAAAATATTCTGCCTGCACCCTACCTTCATCATGAACAGAGAATGTATGCTATATTTGTTAAAAATAGAGGGTTTATATTGTGTATTAAAGTCTTATTAATTTTCTGTGGAAGCTTTAAAAATAAAAATAGACACAAATTCTGGCTCTATATCTACAATGAGGCTAAAGAACATAGACAGTTAACTCTCAAATGTTTCTGTATCATGGCTGAAAAATCAGCAAATGCCTCCACTTTTGAGTACTTAAAAAAAAAAAGCCATGTTTAGGTTTCTTTTGAACCAGTAACATTACATAAGGCTAACATATTCTTGTTTATTTAATATTTTCAATTTTTGAAAAATTGCTTATTAACCCTTCATTTATGTGATAAATAAAATGTGAAGTTATTTCATATATGTCTCTAAGTTCCTAAGACGTATTTGGAGCTCAAATTATCTTTGGTGTTTAAAATCATATCACAGAGTCAGGGGACAGGCTCATTAGGGTTTTCCTAAGTATGTTTATCATGTTGTTTTGCCAGTGAAAACAGGAATGTCATTGAATGTCCCAGAAACGAATAATAATAAAACAGAAAAATCGAGAATGAACTCAAAAGCAAAGACCTTATTCAGGATGGTCATATGGTAGGGTTTTGCTTCAGAGCAAAATCAAAGGTGCTAGCATGCAGAAAAAGGGTTAGTCTGCCAGTTCAAAAATACTGTGAAGATGTTCCTAAGTAATCTCTATTCCCCATGTGATCTAATATATTGTGATTCTTTACCTGGAGAACTGCAAGAACTCTCTCTCTGTTCTCACCCTCATAAGATGCATTTTTTTCCACTTTTGTTACAGATACTATTACTACAAAGATTACATAAAACCATGAATCTTCACTTACTAGAATTTCTGAGAAACCTTCTGTAGAGGCTGACAAACCTACCATGTGTTTTCAGATGTTTTACAAAAGCAATACTTTTTTTAAAAGTTACTAGTAGTTCAAAAGTTAGCTGGAAAGCAAAACCCACCATTTGAATGCGAATAACTTGTCAAAACATGGGTTATTCACTAAGTTTCTACTATCATTCTGTATCAATGAAAGCAAATTGTAGTGAGCTGGGTAGAACAGCATGAAATGAGGAAAAGAAATGGGGCAGACATGGGAAGAGATGCTGAGGGTGGCAAAATAAAGATAGAGGTTGATACCCTCTTAGGGGAACTAGACCAGCCTTCACTGTTAATATGTGTTTACAGGGACACTAGTAAAATAGTATAGAATTACCCCTGCTTGAGATATAGCTACTGACATTTTACTGGAGACCAATGAAACCTCAGATCTTTGTAATGAGCTCCAATGGTCTTGGAGATCTGATTAAGTTGGAAAGGACAGCGAAGGTCAAGATAATTTTTGAAAGAGTAATGTCTACTGAAGCATGTATGCCCATAAAAACACTCTAAAACCCGACGTAAAGAACATTCAGTTGTTGTCAAAAGCAAACGCTGTGTCTCATGATTTATCAGTTTACAAAACAGGGGAAATAGTTGACTCCATAGCTGTTCAATGGTTGTGTAATATTTCATTATCTAACTTTTTCAAAGGAATGTGTATGAAAAGCTGAAGTTGTTCGATGACCAGATTATACAAACTTTTCTTTTCTAGATGAAATTCTGACTCCACTGATATCTTTGGAAGGCTGATCCATTACATTGGTGTGGCCAGGATTTCACTAACTCAATAGCAGGTTCCTCCAGATAAGTTTGTTGACTTATATGGGGTTATTGAGAAAACAAGGTACTAGCTGTCAGGAATAGATGTATCAGAATACAGCCTTAGAAAAGAAGAAATAAAAATGTGAGGCAGAGAAAAAAATAAAAATCCATCTTTTCTCCAAGTAGGGCTTTCAACTTAGGAGGTTAGACAAAGATAGAACTTAGTTTAGCACGAGGATTAATGGGATTTTGGATATAATTAAATCAAGTATTTGAAGTTTCACTTTTTTTTTCAACCTGTACATATTTTTCACTATTCAAGGTTGTTTATTAACAATAAAAAACTTGGTATGTTTTTAACTTTTCTATAGGAATGATAAAATAAAATTGTAAGAAAAAATGAATCTGGGATAGGTAGAAAATATAAAGCAAAAATATATCCTACATACCAGCACGCCTTTTGCTGTCTCTGGAAAAAATGCTAGTAATGAAGTGGAAATATCCATCATGATAGTGCTTGTATTTAATATAATATTCTTAAGACAGTTTTGTTAGATGCACTTCCTTATACACTGAGGCTGCTGTCAGAGCTGTCGTTGATCAGTTCTGAAACTGAGCTGTAGACTTGACCCTGTAGATAACACACTCAGCACAACAGAAGTATTAGAAAAATAGGAAAAGCAACATTCCAACTTTAAAAAATTTCTACTTTAAATAAAATCCAGCTTTGTAAGTGGCAGAAATGACTTGATCGCATAAAAATGTTTGACTAAACTAAATAAAGTGCAAGGGTCAGAAAGTGACTTTTGAAAGTGTAACGTGTACAGTTTCAATCCAGTTATTGTTCCTATTACTGATAACATGTGGTAACTACTTTACACAAGCCAAGCTAAGTAAATATGAACTTTATTAGAAATTAACTTTAGTTATTTGTCTTAATGCAGTGGAACATATATCATTGATTTTAATTATATTTCTGGTTGTTTTCTATTTTTTACATCTGTCACATAATAAAATTAAGCCACATTGCCATTTCTTGAGAAAGATTGGGTGGTGTAAATGTGACTTCTTTGCTTTAAAGTAATAAATACCCTTTCTTGATAACAATAACATGTTATAAATATAGTATTTTCTGTTTCCTATGAATATCTTCTTCATTTTTTATCATTAAAGAAAAGTAATAAGTGTCAGGTTATATACTAAAAAAAGAGGTCCAGCACCAGAGGGAAGAGAACAGAAGAAGATTCTGCTAAAATGGTTTTGGGACACCATCATTAAAGTCATTAAATATTTTGATAGCACTTTCCGTTTTACTACCCTTTGCTGCTTTTAACAGTCTTTCAATTCTATTTCTTGGCAGGTCATTCAATTGTCTAAATATTGAACAGCTGAATCCTAAACTACACTATCAACTGCTGTATATTAGACTAGGTCAATAACTTCAAAAAGCTGAGGATCTGACTAAGCAGCTTCTTTAGTGAGTTATAAACCTGCTGAGTTGTGTACTGTGTAAATTAAGTTAATTTACCCCAGTCTGCTTGAGTGTCTGTCCAGCATAGATATACCCCCTGTCACAGTCTCAAGAGTGAACTGAAACAGAAAAACCTGAAATCACGTACAAAGTATAAGGTAAGAGAGGGGCTGTAGAAGAAGCACCCAGAGAAGTACATGGAAAGCTAGTAGAAGGTAAATTGTCAGAGCAGTAAACAAGTGACAATGTGTATAGTGTGTGTATCAAAGAGGTGAAGAACATAAGAACAGCCTTGGACTTGCATAACTGGAAGCTCACAGTTATGTCAGTGTATCCTAAGTTCATAGTGGATATGCTAGACTCTTATTTGCTGAATCTGATTGTTTCATTTTCTTATAAAGTTTTGTGTTCTATTGAATGCAATAAAATACATATCTGTAAA